GCGAGTCGTAGTTCGTCTGGGACGCGTACCCACAGCGTGAGCCAGGGCGGCAGCCAGTCTGGCATTGTTTACCAGTGAGCGAAGGTCCCCTTACGTGCTCCAGCGAAATATTTCATAATATTCAATTTATTTTAGTGCTTGCAAGTAGTAAATAAGCTACCATGGCTCCAAAGAAAGCTCCTAGTGCCAAGCCTGTGGTATCAGAAACCTTCCCTATGAGGATAGACTAAGGGCCCTGAATCTGCACTCTCTAGAAAGACGTAGAATTAGGGGGGATATGATTGAGGTGTATAAATGGAAGACAGGAATAAATAAAGGGGATGTAAATAGTGTGCTGAAAATATCTAGCCTAGACAGGACTCGCAGCAATGGTTTTAAGTTGGAAAAATTCAGATTCAGGAAGGATATAGGAAAGTACTGGTTTGGTAATAGAGTTGTGGATGAGTGGAACAAACTCCCAAGTACCGTTATAGAGGCCAGAACGTTGTGTAGCTTTAAAAATAGGTTGGATAAATACATGAGTGGATGTGGGTGGGTGTGAGTTAGACCTGATAGCTTGTGCTACCAGGTCGGTTGCCGTGTTCCTCCCTTAAGTCAATGTGACCTGACCTGACTAGGTTGGGTGCATTGGCTTAAGCCGGTAGGAGACTTGGACCTGCCTCGCATGGGCCAGTAGGCCTTCTGCAGTGTTCCTTCGTTCTTATGTTCTTATGTTCTTAAAGAAGGTGAGAAATATGATTAAATTTAAGAAAACCATCACTGAACAATATGAAAGTGGTACAAGTGTGGCCAAACTGTCCAGGATGTATAAGAAACCCTACACAACCTTATGTTCCACAGTGGCCAAGAAAAATGAAATAAAGGATGCTCTTGTTGCAAAGGGAGTAACTATGCTAACAAAAATGAGATCACCAGTACTGGAAGAGGTTGAGAAGTTATTATTGGTGTGGATAAATGAGAAACAATTAGCAGGAGATACTCTTATGACTTCGTTTTTGTGTGAAAAGGCTAGGCAGTTGCATGAAGATTTGGTAAATTTGGTAAAGAAATTGCCTGCAAATAGTGGTGAAGTGAGTGAATTTAAGGCCAGCAATGGCTGGTTTGAGAGATTTAAGAACCGTACTGGCATACACAGTGTGGTAAGGCATGGTGAGGCTGCCAGTTCGGACCACAAGGCGGCTGAAAAATATGTGCATGAATTCCAGGAGTACATAGAGGCTGAAGGACTGAAACCTGAACAAGTGTTCAATTGTGACGAAACAGGCCTCTTTTGAAAGAAAATGCCAAAGAGGACCTTCATTACACAAGAGGAAAAGGCAATGCCAGGACACAAGCCTATGAAAGACAGGCGGACGCTAATGTTCTGTGCTAATGCTAGTGGGGATTTCAAAGTGAAGCCATTACTAGTGTACCATTCTGAAAATCCAGAGTGTTCAGGAAAAACAATGTTATGAAGAGTAAATTGTGTGTGTTTTGGAAATCTAATAGTAAGGCATGGGTCACGAGGGAAATTTTCGTCGAGTGGTTCAATGAAGCGTTTGGCCCTAGTGTGAAGGAGTATCTCCTGGAAAAGAAATTGGATCTCAAGTGCCTGCTAGTAATGGACAATGCACCTGCTCATCCTCCAAACTTGGATGACCTAATTTTCGAGGAGTTTGGGTTCATCACAGTAAAGTTCTTGCCCCCGAATACCACTCCTCTCCTCCAACCCATGGACCAGCAGGTTATTGCAAACTTTAAAAAACTCTACACAAAAGCAATGTTTCACAGGTGCTTGACTGTGACCACAGACACTCACTTGACCCTAAGGGAATTTTGGAGAGAACACTTCAGCATCCTCCATTGCATAACCCTTATAGGTATGGCTTGGGAGGGAGTGACTACCAGGACTTTGAACTCTGCCTGGAGAAAATTGTGGCCAGATTGTGTCGACAAGAGGGATTTTGAAGAATTTGGGATTGACCCTAATGAGCCTATGTCTGTTGTAAAATCAATTGTGGCACTGGGGAGTTCCATGGGGTTGGATGTGAGTTTGGAGGATGTGGAAGAATTGGTGGAAGACCACAATGAAGAGCTCACCACTGAGGAGCTGCAAGAGCTTCAGCAGGAAGAGCAACACATCGCAGCTCAGAATCTTGCTGCAGAGGAGGAGGAAGAGGGATGGAAGAAGGTGCCTTCTTCAGAAATTAAAGAGATTTTTACTATGTGGGGTAAGATGGAAAGCTTTATGGAGAAACATCACCCTAACAAGGTTGTTGCAAGCCAGGTTGGCAACATGTACAATGACAAAGTCTTGGGCCATTTTAGGGAAGTGTTAAAGAGACGCCAGAAACAGAGCTCTCTCCACAGTTATTTTGTGAGACAGGACTCCAGTGACTCTCAAGGTGGTCCTAGTGGCATTAAGAAACAGAGAAGAGAAGCAACCCCAGAAAAACAAATGGTACCTGAGGTGTTGATGGAAGGGGATTCCCCTTCCATACTATAAACAATCCACTCTCTCTCCTCCTCCAGTCTCCCATACACTAAGAAGAATCTCCAATAAAGGTAAGTGTTATGCTGTTAATGTTTCATTCATCATTTCCCATTGTATTGTTTAAGTACTACATGCATATTTCATGTTAAAAATTTTTTTGTTTTAATACTTCTGGGTGTCAGGAACGGATTAATTGTATTTACATTATTTCTTATGGGGAAAATTGATTCGTAAATCGTAAATTTCGTTTATAGTAACGGCTCCAGGAACGCAAACAACGAGGGACCACTGTATATATATATATATATATATAATATATATATATATATATATATATATATATATATATATATATATATATATATATATATATATATATATATATATATATATATATATGGTAGGAGAAGAAAATATTCAAACAGCTCCGGGGGGAACCTTGAGTTTTCCGTGAGGTACGTTTATTGTCTTCTCTGAGGATGAGGGTCCCCATTCCAGCTATAGAGGTGGTACTTCCCTATATATTTTGATTCAAATAATTATATATATATATTAATATATATATATATATATATATATATATATATATATATATATATATTATATATATATATATATATAATATATATATATGCAGAACAACCATTATGAAAAAATAGCGAAATTCCTGGTGCTTTCGTGACTTTTAACATTATGATAATGTGAGAAGTCACGAAAGTACTAGGAATTTCGCTAGGTAAAACTTGCGATTTTGGCTTAAAATAGCAACGTTCTTCTTGAGAATAAGACAAGCGAAAATTTGTGTATGCAATAATTTCGTAAAATCGTTCTGAACCTAACGAAAAAGTGTTTCTTTATTATTAAATTATTGTAAACTTATCTAAAATATATTTAGTTGGATTAGGCTAAATTAAATTGCGCTTGTTATAATAAGGTTAGGTAAGTTTTCTGAGGTTTTGGTACAAAATTATTAATTTTTACATTAACATGTATGAAAAAAAAATTTAAACGTATAAGAGAAAATTTTAGAAAGGACTTAATTTTAAATGAGTTCTTGCTAATTGACCAGTTTTACATATTCGGCACGACACACACACACACACACACCTAGAAAGGAATGATCTCATCAACAGCAGCCAACATGGTTTCAGGGACGGGAAATCCTGTGTCACAAACCTACTGGAGTTCTATGACATGGTGACAGCAGTAAGACAAGAGAGAGAGGGATGGGTGGATTGCATTTTCTTGGACTGCAAGAAGGCGTTTGACACAGTTCCACACAAGAGATTGGTGCAAAAACTGGAGGACCAAGCAGGGATAACAGGGAAGGCACTACAATGGATCAGGGAATACTTGTCAGGAAGACAGCAGCGAGTCATGGTACGTGGCGAGGTGTCAGAGTGGGCACCTGTGACCAGCGGGGTCCCGCAGGGGTCAGTCCTAGGACCAGTGCTGTTTCTGGTATTTGTGAACGACATGACGGAAGGAATAGACTCTGAGGTGTCCCTGTTTGCAGATGACGTGAAGTTGATGAGAAGAATTCACTCGATCGAAGACCAGGCAGAACTACAACGGGATCTGGACAGGCTGCAGACCTGGTCCAGCAATTGGCTCCTGGAGTTCAATCCCACCAAGTGCAAAGTCATGAAGATTGGGAAGGGCAAAGAAGGCCGCAGACGGAGTACAGTCTAGGGGGTCAGAGACTACAAACCTCACTCAAGGAAAAAGATCTTGGGGTGAGTATAACACCAGGCACATCTCCTGAAGCGCACATCAACCAAATAACTGCTGCAGCATATGGGCGCCTAGCAAACCTCAGAACAGCATTCCGACATCTTAATAAGGAATCATTCAGGACCCTGTACACCGTGTATGTTAGGCCCATATTGGAGTATGCGGCACCAGTTTGGAACCCACACCTAGCCAAGCACGTAAAGAAACTAGAGAAAGTGCAAAGGTTTGCAACAAGACTAGTCCCAGAGCTAAGAGGTATGTCCTACGAAGAGAGGTTAAGGGAAATCAACCTGACGACACTGGAGGACAGGAGAGATAGGGGGGACATGATAACGACATACAAAATACTGAGAGGAATTGACAAGGTGGACAAAAACAGGATGTTCCAGAGATTGGACACAGTAACAAGGGGACACAGTTGGAAGCTAAAGACACAGATGAATCACAGGGATGTTAGGAAGTATTTCTTCAGCCACAGAGTAGTCAGTAAGTGGAATAGTTTGGGAAGCGATGTAGTGGAGGCAGGATCCATACATAGCTTTAAGCAGAGGTACGATAAAGCTCACAGCTCAGGGAGAGTGACCTAGTAGCGATCAGTGAAGAGGCGGGGCCAGGAGCTCGGACTCGACCCCCGCAACCTCAACTAGGTGAGTACAACTAGGTGAGTACACACACACACACACATATATATATATATATATATATATATATATATATATATATATATATATATATATATATATATATATATATATATATTGTTACTGTTTCTAATGCAGTAGTAGCCTGCTGCTGATGTTCCTACTACTATAGCGTCAGACACACCCTAATACTGCTGTCCCTACTACAGTAGAATCACACACACCCTAATACTGCTGTTCCTAGTACAATACAAGTAGGAAGGCGTGGCGGAATAGGGAGCAGTTAGCTGGCGGACCCACGCCAGAGGCAGCATAACAAGAGAAGAACAAATGACTGGTGTTCTCCAGCCACCTCCGTAAGGTGAGCGAGAGATCGATACTCCCTCCCTGGGCGGGGGGTGGTGGATGTTTGGGGAGTAGGGGTAAGGGGTTAGGCTGGCCAGTCCCCCCTCCCCCCCTGTCTGGCTCGCCCTGACTCATCATCTGTGCCATGTCGTCGGTGTTTTGGTATATAAGAGGGTCGCAGCTGGTCCTAGAAGCAGTAGACCACCAGACAGTGTACAAAGTATATAAGAAAAGTGCTTATTATCCCGCCAGCAGGACTAGAAGGGCGGGACGCGGGGGAGACGGGGGGACAGACGAAGGAAGGTCGATGACCCGCCCGTTTAACACAAGTGCCAGTTTAGAACATTTTCTCAGCAAATTGCTGCAGTCACTCTTGGTGTTCGGAGAAAGATATTACTCTGAGAGTGCTCATGTGAGTGGTGGGAGCAGGTGTGCAGAGTACCGAGAGTAGAGGAGCAGCAAGATGAGGGCTGTAGTAAGTGAGGTTAAAGTAGTGGCGAGTGGCTGCGGCAGCAACCGTCTGTGGGGTCCCAGCCAGCGAGCCACTCCGCCACTTCCACGCCGGGTCCCGAGCCGAGCAGACCACAGCTGGCAGCCAGGACAGCCCACCACGCCCTACTATCTCACTGCTAGTCAGGCCTCGAGGCCACCTCTTACCACCCGCTCAGCCTTTCTGCAGTACCGGAAATTACACTTGCGACAGAGGAAGCAGCCCCAAAGACTATATTTAGCTGGCCACGAGGCGGCTGACCCAGCCAGTGGCGACCCGTTACGTGAGGGGTGCCTCCCGCACCGGCCAGCAGCCTCCGCACTGCACCAGCTGCTGCTGCTGCTGCTGCTGACCCAGCCACCACCCCATCCATCAGTGATACACACACCACTTGTCACCCCAGTGCTACTCGACCATGCTTTCGGTACCTGCACGATCTCTCATGCCCCTTTACTAAAAAGACCATCACGTAGATAAGATTTCTAAAGTTGTCACTGGAGTCCTTGCCTCAACCTTCGTATGGAAACGTGACGTGACGTGACGGAGCAGGCGCGGCGAGGCATCAGCTGGGCGGGTGTCAAAAGGGGAGGGGAAGAGGCACTCGGCAACAGCGGGGCCAGCGACAGGGAGGCCTACCACGCTGAGCAACCCCTTACCCCCTAGCTGCCATCGTAACTATCTCCCCTACTGATACTGCCCAGACCAACCTCCCGCTAAAGCAGTGGCAATAGAACCCAAACTCTTGCCCTCACCAGTCGTGCTGCCACCTGTGTCCTTCCTTCGGCCTTCACACTATAGCCTCCAGCCCTTCCTGCAGCAAGGCATGACGCTGCTATCCCTGGGGCCCTAGGGAGTGGCACCCTAAGGCTGAGAGGGACCGGTGTCGCGCCTAACACCTCAGTTCCTCAATATAGCACGCCACGTGGCCGTCGGCTGGCTGGCTGGCTCTCCGCACCGCCTTCCTGGAAGTGAAAGTTGGTCAGCCAAGGTTTCTCGTCGAGGTCAGTGCAGTCCCACCTGGCCAGCCCCACCACCTGCAAGCCTGGGACGCTCTCACCAGGTCGGAAGAGTGAACAGTGCTATAGGGATTTTCATGAGAAAAGTGGATGGGGTAGTATGGAGAGCAGCAGGTGGGACCCACTGGCGCCACCCGTGGAATGTGTTGATACACTTGTGATGCGTCGCCCAGGGACACAAACATTTATATTGATCTGCTGCTGTCTTGTCGCCCACTGGGAAGGGTAAGTGAATTTCCAATAATGCCGATAAGTGAACGATCTTTGCTGAATTCTTCGTACCTTATTTAATAACGTTTCCTCTATAAATTATTAATGACAAAAATTATCCAGGATGTATTTTTGTCTCAGGTCTCTAATTATCAGAATTCACTTGATGCAGTGGTGATAATTCCATGTTATTTAATGTGAACGAACATTTTTGGTCGTCCTGATTTCTAGTGTTCTCTGGTATACGCGTGTTTTCCCACCAACTTCAGCCAGTTTTAGCTGATTATAATAGTCAGAGGGAACTGCACTTCATTGCGACGTCTTGAATGCATTAGAACCTCCAAACAGTATCCTCTGCGTGTGGGGTGCTTATAGACATACAAATGTATTATAATAATCGCCGATGTGAAGAAGTTCCGAGTACCTCTGATAGGTTGGCAAGGCTTGACCAACCCTTAAAAACTTTACCTGGCAATCGTATCGATGTAGAATTAGGCAGTCAGGTCAGATTATGCCGGAGGGGAGGAGAAGGAAGAGGCAGTGCTGTCTGGTATGGTAGCTTACTACAAACTAGTAAAAGTAAGCGCTGATGGACGCTCATTAACCGAAAACAAATCCCTGTTGTTGAATGGAACAATTTCAAAAGCATCCTCGAATACAGCCTTGGTGATGATTCCGGGCTAGGAGTTACCACTGAGTTGCTCTAGTGGTTGCACAACTCACCGGCGGCCAAGGACGCTGCGAATACAATGGTTTGTATTCTATACTTTAACCTGGGGAGATGAGATAGCTTTATTCAAGTCAGCGAAGGTGAAGATAGAAATAGTGTGATAAAAAGATAGAAAGTCATGAATATCGGTTCCTTGGAGACCGTCTCTGAACAGAGAAGACAAAGTCTAGGAGACAGAAACCACTATAAACTATCAAAATTGAGAGTCAGAGTTAGAGAGAGTTAGGGTACACAGAAAGAGAGAGAATCAGAGAGCTAAGGAGACTGAAAAGTTAAATAGGTAAATTCATGCTGTCATAGAAAAAAGTGTAAAATGAAGGAATCGTAAAGGACAGGCTGTCTGGTGAGTAAATGTTTATACAGGGCTTATAATCTTAAACTTTTTGCAGTGGTTTGTACATAGTAAATTAGAGAAAAATAAAAGTAGGTCAAGTGTAAAAGAAACACGGAGAGAGCAACTCTCTAGTGTAAGTGATACAGTTCAGAATATAGAGTAAGAGTTAAAGAGAATAAGAATGTACAGAGTGAAAGAGTGAAAAATGAGAGAAAGAAGAGGAAGGGGTGGAGAGGTCCCGTTACCCCACCACCGTCTGGCTAGCGACGCTGCTGCTGCTGCTGCTGCTGCTGCTGCTGCTGTCTGCCCGCCAGCCTGCCTGCCTCCTCCGCGCACCTCCGCCCGGCCTCGCGCAGGGCGAGCCCAGCCCGTCCTCCTGGCCCGCCCTTCTACTCTGGCTTGGGACTTTGCTCTGATACAGCCTTCCTCAGACAAATCTCTCTAGTATAGTCCTTAGCTCATGCCTACCCTTCGCTTTAACCAACTTTTCGGATATACAGACCTATGTATGTTGAAGCCTGGCCTACTTCAGCCCAGTTCTTTGCTTTGACGTAGACATGTGGAAAGCATAGTTTCTGCCATTCGGCTTACATATGACATGGTTTTATCATAGTCTTGTGGTACATCTATGGTTTCTGCTAAGGACAGATCACCTGCAGTGGCTATGTTCTGTGATGCGGTTGATCCCAGTAATGTAGCTGGTACTATGATCTGGGCTGACCATGTGATAAGACCTGGCCCAGTTATGCACTCAAGCTTTTTGGGGAGTACCCGACTTCACTTACGTTCCGGCCTTGAAATGTGGTCGGCCCGTAGTGTGACCAGGTGATGTGACTCAGCCCTTAATGCCCCGCCCTCTGAATGCGACAGCCTGGTTGAACACCTCGGCTCAGCAACTACATTTTTCAGTGTTTCTAGTGAGATGTTTTAATGGATTATTACAGGGTGCCCTAAACCACTTCTGGGAACTTAAAATAATATGATATATTAAAAGGACTGAAAACCACAATTTTATTGTATATATATATATATATATATATATATATATATATATATATATATATATATATATATATATATATTATATATATATTTGTTGTGCGTAAGTGCAATTGAAACTTGAACTTTGGTTGATCCTGCAAGTTCTCAGGCTTGCATGTATGCACCGTATGTACTATTAAGACATTCGGAACTGGTATAATCAACCAAGGTTCCCTCTAGGCTGGGGAAGGTTATCCATAATTTATGTATCACCTGTTTTCCCATAGCGTATTTTCATGTAATGACACGTTGTGGCCGTGTGCCCTCTACTCTTGTAGATACCTTGATAAATTCCAGTGCATGGGGGCTGCCATGCCTATTCTCTTATGTATGCCTCCAAGTGTATTTTCTGGTAATGTCCAATTCATTTCTTGTGAATACCTTCGAGTATTTTCTCCATTGTGGCGCTGTCCTCTCTACTCTTGTGGATATCTGGGTATCTTATATGTTGTAGCTGTATCTTCTCTACTTCATTATCTGGCCTTTGAGTTTTAGTTCTTTAAACTTTATCGGGTTATCCTGGGTTAATTACTCCAACAAAATCATGGTCATCGTCTTCCTCTTCTTCTTATAACTTGTTTTCTTATCTCTGCGACTATCCGGTAGCAAATTTTTTGATCGAAGTTATAGTGTAAGATTCCTGACCCCAATTGTTATATTACCTAATGTTGCATTTACTGGTAATCTTATCCTGTTTATATGCGCCCTCAGATGTAAGTTCAGTGTTATGTCTGCTTTTAGATACTTGCCTCTTTCTACTTGTAGCAACTGCTTCACTCACATCTGACTGTAGCAACTGCTTCACTCACATCTGACTGTATCAACTGCTTCACTCACATCTGACTGTAGCAACTGCTTCACTCATATCTGACTGTAGCAACTGCTTCACTCACATCTGACTGTATCAACTGCTTCACTCACATCTGACTGTAGCAACTGCTTCACTCATATCTGACTGTAGCAACTGCTTCACTCACATCTGACTGTAGCAACTGCTTCACTCATATCTGACTGTAGCAACTGCTTCACTCACATCTGACTGTATCAACTGCTTCACTCACATCTGACTGTATCAACTGCTTCACTCACATCTGACTGTATCAACTGCTTCACTCACATCTGACTGTATCAACTGCTTCACTCACATCTGACTGTATCAACTGCTTCACTCACATCTGACTAGCAACTGCTTCACTCACATCTGACTGGAGCAACTGCTTCACTCACATCTGACTGTAGCAACTGCTTCACTCACATCTGACTGTAGCAACTGCTTCACTCACATCTGACTGTAGCAACTGCTTCACTCACATCTGACTGTAGCAACTGCTTCACTCACATCTGACTGTAGCAACTGCTTCACTCACATCTGACTAGCAACTGCTTCACTCACATCTGACTGTAGCAACTGCTTCACTCACATCTGACTGTAGCAACTGCTTCACTCACATCTGACTGTAGCAACTGCTTCGCTCTCATCTGGTATGGTACTAAAGTATTTGTCTTCATTCTACCTCATGTTCACACACTTTTCTGAAATGACTGAAAAGTCATTTATTGGACCATTTTTCCTTTTTTTTTTCTTTTTTTTTTTAAATACCTTACCATTCCAGTTCTCACGAGATCTGTGTCAACTGCAAATAATAAAAAGTAGAATTTTCTCCAGGTAGGCCCATGACGTGTAAATATAAAACAAGACAGGACCTAAAACTGAGCCTTGAGGAACGCTTCCTGTTACTTCTCCACAACTCGACGTCTCGTTATGACTGCTTTCTGTTTGTCTTGGACTTAGCGTTTTCTCCCTTCTATCCCAGTCACCTTTCCAAATTGAAGATGCCTACGTGGCACCGTATTGAAGGTTTTCCGACAATCTCCAACTGTACAGTATGGCTGTCACTTTCTCAACTCTTTTTAAAACTTCATATAATTTTAGGTTGATAAGACATGCTGTTATTTCACTGAACTCGTCTGTTGTTCAGCGCTGAAGTTTATATTCTGTAAGTGGTCTACTATCCACTTTGTTTGAATGTTCTGTATCACTTTACAAGGCATTTTGGAACGAATGTAAATTTTTATGTATATTAAAGGACTCTTATCTATCTCTTTAAATATTGCAACATTACGACATTTGTGTAAAAAATACTTATGCAATGTTAGGTTGCATAAGTGTCATTTTTACACATTTGCTTGCAATATTTTTACCTTTGCTGGTTTCCAGCTTCTCTGTTTTTCTCCTGACACCTTAATTCACTACCATCTCAAAATGCCTTTTATTGTATTCGGACATTTTGCCTATCAGTTAGACATACTTATTAAGTTTTAAACACCTCTTGGAATGTTTGAGGAGTTCCTTGTTTTATTCATGAGCATATCTCAGATTAATTTTAGACTGATCACTTGGTTTTCTACCAGGCACCTTACAAAGCGGCTGTATATTAATTTGGGCTGTACTTTTGCTTTGGCAGATATGTAGTTTTATTTCTCACACAACATGCCTCTTAAATACATTTGAGCCTCCATACCTTGTACTTGGCGTTTGAACCTCTTGGTGGCCATCTATATACTCCCTGTCCCACTTCCTTCATATTTGTCATACCTTTAAGTATTTAACTAACAGGATGCAGTGGCTGCTGGCCCCTACTGAGGCTTCTTGATGTCTGATACTCCCTGAGTGAATGTCAGAACCAGTCTGACATTTTACCATCCACATACCTCAAGGCTACTTTGAAGTTCATTATAGCATACGAGTATCTCACTGCTATACGTTTCTAATATCTAGCGAGAGAGTTTCTTATTACTTATTATCTTCAACACACCATCAGAATACTTCATAAGATCTGTTACTGATTTATCCCCTTTACATAATGTGATACCTACGTTTAATTATTACGCCATCCATTTATCATCACCTCAATTTATCTAAATATTCTTATAGGGATTTACGGTCATTTTTAATGTTTTTTTTTTTTGGCATAAGATTGCTTCAGAATCCGTGTATACACTTAGCTGTGGTTACGGGGGGTATCGAGGCATAGGTCTTGACATTCTTCACAACTAGCAGCTAGTGGTGTTTCAGATTCTTAGCCTCTTGAATTCTATCATACTAGTATTTGAAGCTACCATACTTAAGAACGTCGCCTCCAATTATTCCTTATCCAAGTAATTGTATTTCCTAACCAGACTGAGACTACCAGTGTGCTGTGTGTATGTTGAGAGTTGCGGGAGTTACCGTCCCGGTCACAGACCAGGCCTCCAGCTTGATAAAGTTCGCTTTCATTAGTCTCTCCTCGTAGGTCACTCCTCTCAGCACAGATACCCTCCTTTTTACTAACCTTTTGACATTTTTCTATTTTCTGGTTATACTTGACCAGGTCTGAGTTCCATGTTGGTACTGTGTGTATGATGTAGGTTTATATAAACACAGTACTGATGCAGTGTGAATTGTAAGAAATAGTTCTTAGAGAAAAAATGATTCTGTGAGTACTTAAAACTGATCCCTAGCTGTGTTTCCAAAATTTATGTCTGTAGTCTTGCAACAACACGCCCTCCACCCAACTACCACATCCTCCACCCTAGTTACCACCACACCCTCCAACAGTCGTCACTATCACTCCACCCTCCACTACATCCATCACATTAAGCACCATCACGTCTTTCACCAACAGTCATCACCACCTCCATGTACTCCACCACCATGGTCATAAGTGATGTACAACACACTCCATTAATATCACGTCATTCACAGACTCCATCAGTTCTGGAGCACACTACTAACAATCCACTTAAACACAAGTGGTGGACACCAATACTGGGGTACACCAATAACCAACGTAAGCACATACAAGTGTTGGACACCAGTCCTGGGGTACACCAACCTAAGAGCACATTATATTTCAGCTTGTGGTATAAAATTCCACTTGGCTAAAACTGGCCACGGTTCTGCCATATCCCTAATGGTATTTCTGTCGTAAACTAAGAATTTTATCATCTGTTTGAAATTCTATGGTACCAATAAAAATGAAGGGTGATTTCACTTTGCCGAGTGTCTGGTGAAGACAGACATGGTAGCTGGACAAGGACACTCGTCACTCAGTGTAGCTTAATGATACACAACTGCTACACTTTAATCTCTGTTAATAACTGGAATTGTCTCTTAAGGCCAATTGAGATGTTTCTCAATCTTGCCTTCGGGGTTCAGCACCAACTTTCTCACCTCTATCCTTTTACTGCTGGCCACATACAATCCAACGTACGAACTACAGCCAGGCTGATCAGGCACTGATTTCGGGTATGTGCTCCAATTGCATCTTGTAGACAGCCAATGATCTATTGGTAATTCCCTTTATGTATGATGGGAAGCTGTTGAACAATCTAAGGGTCCGGGACACTTACTGTGTTTTCTCTTAGCGTACTCATGGCACCTCAGCTTTTCATTCTGGGTATGTTGCACCGTCCTCCTAGTCTTTTACTTTCTAAGGAGAGATTTTTGTGTGCAGATTTGGAACCCTCTTAAGATTTTCCAGTAGATTATGATGTATCTTCTCGCCTGCTTACAACTGAGCTGAGAACATACAGGAATATTTCATAAAATACCCTGCTACAAGCAATGGTCAGTTCTATTTAAGATCGTTATGATACGGTCAAATCATAGCTTATTATTAGTACTATAAGCTGACATTCACAGGACCCGGGTTCATTTTAGGGCGAGCGGAGACTATGGCCAAGTCTCCTTTCACTTAGTGTTAACGTTCACCTAACAGTATTATTTACTTTATTTTATGAGGGAAAGCGCTAAACCCATGTGGATGATACAGACCCTTGGGGAATGGAAGACAATCAGAATCGATCCAAAGAAGGACATCTCCAATTTTCTGGATCAAGAGCCCTTCGCTGCTAGGGCACCGCCCCTCAAGGAAGGTTCCTTGACGCTGGTGAGGGGCTCTTGATCTAGGGAATTGGATCTGTGCTCCAGTTCCCTGAATTAAGCCTGAATACCTTCCACATCCTCCCCACAGGCGCTGTATAATCCTACGGGTTTAGCGCTTCCCCTTAATAATAATAATAATAATAATAATAATGCTAGGGCACCGAGCGGTAAATACCTAACTGGGCCCATGTTAGTAAATTTATTTAGGTACATGTACACAAAAGTAACGTGTGTAAATTACCTAGGATAACTTAGTAACGTGTGTAAATTACCTAGGATAACTTAGTAACGTGTGTAAATTACCTAGGATAACTTAGTAACGTGTGTAAATTATCTAGGATAACCTAGTAGCGTGTGTAAATTACCTTGGATAACCTAGTAACGTGTGTGAATTACCTAGAATAACCTAGTAACGTGTGTAAATTACCCAGGATAACCTAGTAACGTGTGTGACTTACCTAGGATAACCTCAAAAATCTCAGTAACTTATTTTCATTAGCGTCCTTAAACGTCAGGTGCTTCTAAGCGCGTGATGCTGACCACATTAAAGTTCTCTAGCATTTAATTTACCAATCACTGCATACCTCGTGTTCTTTTGCTTAGGATGACCCTTGTGGGTTTAGCGCTTAGGTCTGATTGCAATAATTCTTGCTTAAGATTTTTGCTAATCAGAATTCCCGAGTTCTCGCATTCGGAAGGAATAAGTTGTATTTTGTGCATTTTATAGGCGCTGTAGTGATTCATTCCCCCAAGTTGTAACTAAGGTTCGTAGCATATACACAATATGTAGGATATTAAGCAATTAGATCACTGTGATTTGCAAAGGATGCATTGCCTGAATGTTTCAACAGCCGAGGAAGGGGGCTGATAAAGCCATGGTCCTACGAACTACATCTGGATGGACCTCCTGAAGTTTCTAGGTGTGGCCAGAATTTGTTACCGGTCAATTTGTTCTGTCAGCAAACTTTGTATGTTGTTATTATTAATTTCCTCGTCAAGGTCGTTTATGTAATTGTGTACAAGAGCTTCAGTGTGTCTGAAGACACAATATGCAGGACAAGCCAATGGGAGAATGTTTCGCACTCTGTTACTCCATATTGTGTCTTCACGCCAATACTTGCCATTCTACGTCTTCCTGTAAACATTCAACAGATCCGATACTTGTTCCTGTGGAACGTCACTCTTGCCTATTCCTAGCCTGGAACCCAGCTCCAAGACGTGTGATGCTTATGTGCCAGGATCAGAGGTCTTTCTGGAATAACTAAGATTATATCATTAATTAAAAATTACAGTACATTTGTCTGAGGTGGAGCGAGTGTTGGCTTGGAGCTGTGTGTGAATGTTGGCTTGGAGGTGGAGAGAATGTTATTATTCTGGCCCAGTACAAGACTGTAGGTCAGTGGTGTGAGCCTAAACACTGTCCAAGGGAACATATAAGCCATGACGCTGAAGCGTGTAAATAATAATAATAATAATAATAATAATAATAATAATAATAATAATAACAATAATAGCGAGAAAATATTTACCGGCTTAAATAAAGTCTGGAGAATGTTACTTGCCCGCCTGCAAGTTTCCCGTTCATTAAGAAGTGATTAAAATTTTTACTAGTAAAGAATGCAAGGATCATAAAGTATGCATGAAATTAATTAATGTTTAAATTATGCATGGATACTCTTAAAAAGTGTTTTACGTATGATGTATAAAAAAATTGGTACGTTCTTGCGCACTGGCTATTGATTTTTGGTTGGGTGTGTCGACTGCATTGCTAAAATCTTGACTTTAATTTCAGATGTTCTAGAGAGGACATGCTTCCCACTCATCACGTGAAACCTGCCGGATGTTACGTCACCGTAGACATTTGCCATTATGAACCCCTCACCATGACTGGTCAGCGCTTCGAAAGCGTCATAAAAATGAAGCCTCCCAATTGGTGCTGACCGTACGATGACGTCACGAAGGGGGTTCCTGATTGGCCAACTACGGCTGGTGACGTGTAGGCGGAGCAGTGCTGTGGTTGGTGGAGGCAGCAGCTGCCAGAACCAGCCAGACCACGGCGGCGCTCACATGGCCTGGGAATGGAACCTCCAGTCTGGACGCTTCTCATCAGCTGTTCACTGGGGTTGAGCATCAGCGGACGCCTCTGGCCTACACTCCTGCCTACCTAGTCGCATTTATTCCAGTTAAGGAATACCTACTTCTTTGCCGACTGGAGGCACAACATTACGGGACTTTGTCGCTGGCAAGGCAAAGGGGGCCCTTATTCTAGGGCCATAGGATCTGTTGAAAGTTCAGCCGGCGACACCTTGACATCAGTTGCTGCCGGCCGGCTTGTCTTCTCAAGGTGAGTAGAACATTCTAGAGCCTAGTGGTGCCTCGCCCATACAGCCCCTTATGTCTGCTTCTGCCACCACCAGCAGCCCTGCCTCCTGCTCTCTCTCCCTCCCTCCACCCCTCACTACCAAGACGCAAATACGGCTCACACTCGTGCAAAAACTTCCCGGAAGTGTTGAACAAGTAAACCATGTGAGATGAGTAAGGCCCCTGGATTTTCTGTGATTGTCAACTTTTTGTAACTTAAAAGTTTTGATAGAACGCTGAAATGCAAATTTTACTAATAGATTTTTACACAGCCATACTGCGACATCTGTTGTATTTTTTGTACACGATATACAAAGTTTTTAGGCCATAATACAGAATGGCCGACACAGTGGAGTCAGTATCTTGTGTGAAGTGTCTGTAGTGACTTGTAAAAATGGGCCTCTGTCGCAATGTGTTTTTTCCCGAGAGTTTGTGTGATGTGTTGGCTAGCAGAAGGCACTCGAGTGCTTCCCAGAACTGCGTGGGTAGTTGGGACTGGTGGCGTTTCCAGGAGTTGCTGCCTTGTGGAGCAAGAGAGAGTTGCTGGTGGTGGTAAATGGAACATTGCTGTTGGTGGCATAAAGTGGCCTTAAATGGCGATGGTAGCAGGTAACATGTTACAGGTTTCCAGGATGTCAGGTATTTCACGAGCTTCAGGTAGAGAGATCTGAGTGAACGTGGCAAGACTATGAAGTTGAGGCACGTCTAGAGAGAAATACCTGTGATCTCGTTGACGTTCCTGCGTCCAGAGAGGAATACCCGTAATATCAGTGACGTTCTCTCGTCTACAGAGGAATACCCGTGCTTTCACTGACGTTCACATGTCACTGATTGCTCAAAATCTTCCGATAATTTCCACCAAGCGAAGAATTCTCAGTTTTATAAATTTAGTAAACTTGTCGGCAAGCACTACGATCGTGTAACCTAAAGAAATGTATCCTAACTTCAGCCTAACTTACGCTGCATAACTCGTGGGTATATTTTATAATATCACCTAGTCTGCCGCTTGGATAACTCACTGAAATCAGTGATTTCACCACATTCCTCAAAAAGTATTCTCTCTAGCTCTAATACGCAGCAGAAGCAAAATTATTATTACTATTTCATTTCTGCTTTGCTCTTTTGCAAAATACTCTTAGCCTTTCATCAACAGCAGTGAGAGGTCTTATTTTGTGCTTTATAATCAATTTAAGGGCGTGTGTATACATGTTTCAATTACTAAATTGTTCCAAGAGCGACTGGATGCACCTTACCTTCGTTAATTACTGGCTGGTAAAGAGCAGAAAGTATGACTAGTTTGGAGCCATGGGTTACATTTAACAAGATTGCAGTAAGCCTTAGATTAAGTTAGACAGGATGGTGAGCCAGGAGTGAAGTGAACTGAACTGTGACTCGCAGTACAATACTGTACTCACCATCAAAAGTAACCACATACTCTTGCCACATTCAAAAGCACATCTCTTCCGTTTATTCACGCCATTTTGTCGCAGCGTAGATCCTTGAAACCTGGGAACAGTTCCTCCTCCTGTCAAATGTTTCCAATATGCAACATGTAGCTCATGATGATGGCCAGCCTTCAAGGGACAGATGACTTGATTGGTGGGGAGAAGGGTGAACGGCTCTTGACCCAGGGACTTAGAGCTGTCCTGCATTTCGGCTCAAACCTGACTGCCACCCTTTCTCCTGGCGCCGAACGACGACTACGGTTTTAATAATTCCTCATAAATATAGCATTAATGATGAAGATGGCGTGGGTAATATGGCTTCTCACTACCGTAGAATTTTTTGTCAAGACTGATTCTCACTCTCCTCTTTTCCTCTCGTTAGTAATTTATAATTTTGACAATTTTGTCAACTTATTTTAATAAAAATTCTAGCTTGACACAGGAGCTTGACCTCTATATCCATAAAGCTCGCAAGACATTTTCTTCAGCCGGTAGATGTTCCTAGTGTTGTGCGAGAAGTATTAACATAGTGCTAAAAACAAGTAAAAATACAAAGCTAACAAGTCTGGCGTCATGGTCAGTTCAAGGTCTGAAAGTCTTGTGACAAACAGGAAGACTTGGTAGGCTTCCATGGCAAACAGGAGCGAGTGAACAAATCCTTATGGTTAACGAAGGAGCACGTTAGCAACGTCAGTCACCTGAAGATATATAACTCCAAGGTAGTAAGTTTGTTTTGCCAGCCTCGTCATCCTGCATCTTTGCTCTACCTAGAGCCTTCTCACTCCTGCTATCTCGTTTACTGCTCTGTATAACTAACACTTGTCTTCAAACTAGTTCAGTACCCCGCTTTTATTTGTATTTACTAAAAGTTTCAACTTGATGAATAAATACTTGATAGGGTGAATGGTTTGTCAGGTTACCTGGAGGTTACCTGGTGGGTAACTGGAAAAACCTGCAAGAGGAAAAGCATTCATTATACAATACTGGAAATTCCAATCACCTGCTTTCCGAATGTTCACCAGCTGACCTAGGTTAGTGTTCATGTTATGGCATTGGACACTTTTGTCCATCAGGAAGGAACCTTCCCTAACTGCCATCAGTTTTATTTGCATGTATGTGGGTATTTTACCATTGTATATACCAGCTTACTCTGCCACCAACCATTCCTACACTCATGTCGCAGAAGTCTTGCTTCACCTCGAGTGCTTGGAGTTGGTTCAGTAGTATTGGCATACAGGTGGCAGTTCTGTAACACTAGGTTGTAGTGGTTCAGTAGCTCCAACACTGCAGCTCTCCTGGAGTGTTGGAGGAGTGGCGGCTGCGGTCATCTGAGGAGGAGGGGGTGGCGGCGGCTGTGGTTATCTGGGGAAGGGGAAGTGGCGGCTGGGGTCTTGGCTGCGCCTCCCCTTCCCCTCACTCGTACCACTAACACCCCTTCCACCTTCCAGTCTTACCACTAACACTTTCCTTCCACCTTACCACTACTAACATCATAACATTCTCACATCACTGTCTGCCTGTAACAACCACTGTGGTGCCATCCCATCACAAAAACCATTACATTACTACCACTACATGCCACACTACTACCACCACCTCCACCCACTACATGCCACACTACTACTACCACCACCTCCACCCACTACTTGCTACACTACTACCACCACCTCCACCCACTACTTGCTACACTACTACCACCACCTCCACCCACTACTTGCTACACTACTACCACCACCTCCACCCACTACTTGCTACACTACTACCACCACCTCCACCCACCACTTGCCACACTGCTACTATCACCACCTCCACCCACCACTTGCCACACTGCTACTATCACCACCTCCACCCACCACTTGCCACACTGCTACTATCACCACCTCCACCCACCACTTGCCACACTGCTACTATCACCACCTCCACCCACCACTTGCCACACTACTACTACTACCACCACCTCCACCCACCACTTGCCACACTACTACTACTACCACCACCTCCACCCACCACTTGCCACACTGCTACTACCACCACCTCCACCCACCACTTGCCACACTACTACTACTACCACCACCACCTCCACCCACCACTTGCCACACTGCTACTACCACCACCTCACCCACCACTTGCCACACTGCTACTACCACCACCTCCACCCACCACTTGCCACACTGCTACTACCACCACCCACTACTTGCCACACTATTACCACCACCCACTACTTGCCACACTATTACCACCACCCACTACTTGCCACACTATTACCACCACCACTACTTGCCACACTATTACCACCACCCACTACTTGCCACACTATTACCACCACCCACTACTTGCCACACTATTACCACCACCCACTACTTGCTACACTATTACCACCACCACCCATTACATACCACACTACCACCACCACCCATTACACACTTTCACCACCCATTACACACCACCCATTACACACTACCATCACCACCCATTACACACTACCACCACCACCCATTACACACCACCCATTACACACCACCCATTACACACCACCACCCATTACACACCACCCATTACACACTACCACCACCACCCATTACACACTACCACCACCCCCATTACACACTACCACCACCCCCATTACACACTACCACCACCCCCATTACACACCACCCATTACACTACCACCACCACCCATTACACTACCACCACCACCCATTACACTACCACCACCACCCATTACACACTACCACCCATTACACACCACCACCCATTACACACTACCACCACCACCCATTACACGCTGCCAATATTGGATAAACTGCAGCTTTACCTTACCTCCTTTCTACCTGGAGGTTGTTGCGGGGGTCAACGCCCCCGCAGGCCGGTCAATGATTATGCCTCGCGGTGGATCAGGCCTTGATCAACCAGGCTGTTACTGCCGGCCGCGCGCAATCTAACGTACGAACCACAGCCTGGCTGGTCAGGCACTGACTTTAGATATCTGTCCAGTTCGCCCATTCTGTGCCTCTTAGTATGCCATTCTCTTCTCTCCCGTTCCTGTCCGAGTCCATTGCAAGTCATTACATACCTTCCTCTTTTATCCCTTGTCTGTCTTTTTCGGTCAGTTCCACATTTTCCCCCCTCGCTCAGGCCGGGCTGCGAGGAGAAAGAGCTCGAAACAGGTTACAGGTATATGCCTTTGTTCCACCAGATACCAAGAAGACTTCCTCTCAACTCTCTAACCTCTTCTCTCTTCCTATACTTGTTTTACTTTCTTCTGTTTCCTTTGTTGTCTCAAGTTGTCGAGCCTCTTGCTGCTGCTGGTGGTTTGCGATCTAGCTGAAGTGGGATAAAACAGACCAGAAAGCTAGCGGCTGTTGGTTACACTTGAGCACAGGTTTAGCCAGGCTTGGTCAGGTTTAGCCAGGCTTGGTCAGGCTTGGTCAGGTTTAGCCAGGCTTGGTCAGGCTTGGTCAGGTTTAGCCAGGCTTGGTCAGGTTTGGCCAGGTTTAGCCAGGCTTGGTCAGGTTTGGCCAGGTTTAGCCAGGCTTGGTCAGGTTTGGCCAGGCTTGGCCAGGTTTGGCCAGGTTTGGCCAGGCTTGGCCAGGCTTGGCCAGGCTTGGCCAGGCTTGGCCAGGCTTGGCCAGGTTTGGCCAGGCTTGGTCAAGTTTGGCCACTCTTGGCCAGCAGCACTGCCCTTTCAAACGCTTTCCCCCTCCACTTCCTTATCTGGCTGTCTGCCTCTATCCACTCCCACACTCTTATCAAAACATGGCTACCTCCATCCCTTTCCTCGAGCACCTTCCCTCCCTCCCTAGCACTACCGGACACCACCTTCCCTCTCACTTACCTAAGCCTCTTTCCTCTCCTTCGAACAACTTAACGACTTCGGTTTACTGGGTCATCAGTAGATTGTGTGTGAAGCCACAGATAAATCAGCTCTCGCTTCTAACTCCGGCTCAAGCATTTCTTGATCATCTTGCCTTTATCTGCTCTCTTCGTTTATCCGCCATATCCATATCTAAACAACTCTTCTGTTTCTAAATATCCTATTTTTTTTCACTTACACTTCGTATATACCTATACCTGTATGAGTTTTTTTTTTATGTATATACACAACCACAACTTCAAATTTCGCCCGTGCCACTCCGATGCTGTCCAAATGTTAACACTTTTGGCAGTTCTGTTACACATGGGACCATAAAACAACTGTTGACTCTTGGAAGGTGTATTGGAACCATGTGTGCATGATGTGCAGGAGCGGCAGTTTATGTGGTGTTTGGTGTCTGTGGTGTGGTTGAGGAAGGGTAATGGTGTGTACTTTGGGGAGAGTAATGGTTGTGGTGTGTGTACTTGGCGAATCGTAATACTGCTGGCGTGTAGCTGGGAAAGGATGGCGGTGTTATGTAATTGAAGGATGGTGAGGGTGGAAGGGTGGTGTGTGGTTGGGAAAGGGTGGAAGGTAGGAGAGACGGTGGTGGTGGGTGAAGAGGTAGGAGTTGTAGAGGGGTAGGAAGCAGCAGCAGCTGTGCAGATGCGCGCGAGAGGACACACACACACACACACACACACACACACACACACACACACACACACACACACACACACACACACACACACACACACACACACACACACACACACACACACACACCGCACTTTTCTGTTAGGCACAGTGGCATAATTTATGAAGCCAAGCTATGGCCACAAGCTTCACCCGTCACAGTATCCCAGATAACCATAACATTCATCACGGTGACATGCACTACGCAGTTAGTCCTGATATCGTAGATTAGCAGCAGGAGAGTAAGATAACGGGGGAGAGCAATTATAAGCATCCTTAGAATAATATTTGTCCTTGCTATGTTTAAAGTCTGCTACTTCAACCATCATCTCACTTGTAGACAACAGCATCCTGACGGGCGTTACTGAACGGGATGTCTAAACCTGAACACTTTAATTACTCCCTGAGAGATGGAGAGGAAGTTCTCAGTGAAAAGCAGGGATGCAACAAGTACACTGATAATCAGTGTAAAGGGTCAACGACTTTTCAACACCCCTTCATATGTAAGGGGTGTTAATGCATTTAAAGAGGAAACTTAATAAAGTTCAGCCGGACTATTTGCTTATGTTGGCCTGCGTGCTGCTGCTAACATCCTGATTGATCAAACCATCACCAAGAAAGCCTGCTCGGTCTGGTACCGGACTTGTGGGAGATGACTCCGAAATTAACAAAAGGTATCCCTTACCCCCCATCCCCATTATCCCGTAAAAACATAATGGGGAGTCGGAATGAAAAGGAACTCTTTTGAAAGGGTAGAGAGAGTAACAGACCAGTTCGGAAAATTTCGTTGATGTGGAAGGTCATTGCCTCCGTCACGAGGGGAGACGGGGGGGAGGGGGAGTGAGTAGCACGATGTCACAAGCCTAGATTTATATCTGGTACTGATAGTGCCGCCGTCTTGTACCTTCCAGAAACTAATGTCACTACTTTGCTTCTTGATACTGCGATGTCACTGCTGTGTTGTATCTTGGTACCGTTATATCAGTGATGTGTTGTATCTACTTGGCACTGTAGTGTCAGTGTAGTCTACCTTCCTGGCACTCGTGTCATTGTACGTTATCTTCCTAGCACCACTGATGCCAGTCTTCCATCGCCATAAAATCACTTTAGAGGTGAGAGCGCGTACTTTACTAGTTGTGAATGCACTTGGTGTGTCGTAGCTCGTGGCCCCTAACTGCAGGTGATTTTTTTTCGTAAGTTAATTGGTTATTGATTTAGGTATGTATTTTTGTTCTGTGGTCGAAATGAGAGGTTTAAATGAGATTAGCAGTGTTGGAATTAATGGCCTGAAGACTGTGTAGCAGCCAACAGTTGTGGTGGTACAGGAAGAACCAGGAAGACAGATGGTGTGGATGAGTGGGAAGAGAAGAACCAGGAGGCAGAGGCTGAGATGAATTAGGGGAATACAAGGAAGAGCCATAAATTGCAGTGTTGTGGAGGGTACATTACACGAGATGGTGGTTCGAGAGGCGAAAAGCGTACCTCGGCAGGGAGACATACACGAGATAGTTTGAGAGGCGGACAGCGTACCCCGGCGGGGAGACACACACGAGATGGTGGTTTGAGGCGGAAAGCGTACCCTGGCGGGGAAGCATTACACGAGGAGATGGTGGTTGGAGAGGCGGAAAGCGTACCCTGGCGGGGAACTCGGCACCCAGACACCAGTATTGATCTTTGCTCGTAACATATTCACCTTACATTGGTGGTCCGCCCACCCTCCCTCTTATTCCCTCTCCCTCCACCCCTCTCTCTCCCCTCCTCCTGTTCAACCCCTCACCCTCTCTAGTTAGCTTTTGTTCCAACTGTGTAACTTATCACATGGAAAAGCGTAGTTGCACACTGCTGCTGTATCCAATTTTCCTCACTCACAAAGTTTAAATAATTAAGGACCCCAGTGGAACTAAGTGACTTTGACTTGATTATGTTATGCCAAGTTCAATTCTACCTAATCTACTATTTTAGTACGAACCCTAAAAATGTTAAATTTTTACAATGTTTCGTATAATAAATTAGCAAAATTTGACTTCGGAAAGCCATTTTCATATTAAAATTAAGAACGAGGCCTAAATAAACTTTTACTCTCCGTCTTTCATCTATCTGGAATATCTAATCTAATCCAGTCTTGCAGCCCCCTTTCCTCCCTCCCGTCTTAACCTTACCCTAGGCCTATTTCCAGTACCTTCCTACCCCAACATGAAGCACACGTGTGCTCAGCGCTCCATCAACCTAGTATTGCTGGTGTCTGGTCGTCTTTTATGTCGGTTAAAGCAAAATGTGTCCTAATGTTGTCATAACGTTATTTTAAGGTGTACATTCACTCCTGCCTACAGCCGATACTTTCCGAAGAGGATCCTGAGGGAAAGGGGCCTTATAGAAAAGTCATTTCTTGGGTTATCCAGAGCCTCCTGGGTTAATAATCTGAAGCTTCTTTTTTCCGATAAGTCTTATATGAAGCGACTCGGCAAGACAAACAACTAATCTCCCCCCTCCTCCTCCTCCCTTGCCTTTCCCGCTGAACCGGAAAAGGAAACTAAAACAGAAAACCCTCAAGACGTGAACATCCGGTTATAAGAGTTAACGAAGATGATTACAACACATACTGTAGCGGAGACATCTTGTGTGGTCAGTCGGAGGAAAAAAAAAAAACACTAATACTAGTAGTCCCAGCGTATCCGGTCGAGGTCCTGAAGCCTTGAACACAGTTGATGTGGAAACCTTGTTGCGGAGAAAAACAACCGAGGATGTGGTTTCTGTTTTAATAAAAATGTAGAGTAAATGGTTGAACAAAGTGTACCGGTACCATAGGAACTATACAAAGAGCAGAAAACTGATGGTTTGCATATGGCCTCAAAATCCGCTGCAGTAGAGACATTGTTGTGTACAGTAAAATCCAACTGAAGCCTAACGATACCTCTAACAAAATCCACTATCGAAGAAATTTTCACCGAGCACATTACACACACAGGTTCAGACAGATAAGGGGTGTGCATATCGGTTGAGTGGGCAGTGCTGGTAGACTTAATAAGGCGAGACAAATTGCAGAAATTGTCACATTCTATACATAGCCTGTCTGCTTGAGGCCTGAGTGTGCAGATACCAGTTGTCCTTGCTCCAGTCTGGATCTTACCCTGGTAGAGAACCTATCCTGTGTTCTAGATTCTGCCCTGATTGAGCCTAAGATGTGTTTTCTCGTCGTAGGGTTCCTACCAGGATAAGATCTATCTAGTGGCCTTGTTCTAGATCCTACCCTGGTAGAGGGCCTATCCAGTGTGGGGGGGAGGGGTGGGGGTGGAAGGATCCGGGTAAAAGTCCTGCGTGCAAGGTTTCTCGTTGCATTGCAATTCGTCACTCAAGGTCACCAGGTATCTCAACCAGTCATGTGAAAGGTTTTTAGTAAAAATATTTTTTTATTAGGAATTTAGTAGGGACACACACACACACACACACACACACACACACACACACACACACACACACACACACACACACACACACACACACACACACAGTGGTAATTGCAGTGACGCATAACCCACCACAGAACAGCAGGAGGCTAAGGGAAGAGAATAATGAGAGTAACAGAGCAATGGTTGACAGTGGCTGAAGTGGCCAGAAGGGTTCATGCGAGCCGGGCAAATTTACTGACTGTGGGTGACTTCAATCACAAAGAAATTAACTGGGAGAGCTTGGAGTCACATGGAGGGCTAAGAGGTGGTACCTGGAGAGAGTTCCGGGGGTCAACGCCCCCGCGGCCCGGTCTGTGACCCTCCTGTACCAACACGTAAGGGACACAACCAGAAAGAGAAGAGAGGATGAACCAGCAAGACTGGACCTAGTATTCACCTTGCATAGTGCAGATGTTGAGGACATCACATATGAAAGACCCCTTGGGGCCAGTGACCACGTGGTTTTAAGCTTCAAATACATAGTTAAAAGTAGAGAGGGAAGAAGGAAGGGCAGGACGAATGAAGCTAAAGTACAAGAGTGGAAACTACAGAGGCATGAAGAATTTCCTGCACGGGACAGTGGGACAGAGCACTGGCAGGGAAGTCATTCAGTGAGATGATGGAATATGTGACAACAATATGCAAGGAAGCCGAGGAGAGGTTTATACCCAAGGATAACAGAAATAGAGAAGGCCAGGATGAACCCTTGGTTCACTCAAAGGTGTAGAGGCCAAAACCAAGTGTGCGAGGGAATGGAAGAAGTATAGAAGGCAAATGACCCAGGAGAATAAGGAGAGCAGTCGTAGAGCCAGAAATGAATATTCACAGGTAAGATGGGAGGCCGAACGACAATACGAAAATGACATAACAGCGAAAGTCAAATCTGAACCAAAGCTGTTGTACAGCCACATCAGTAGGAAAACAACAGTCAAGGACCAAGTAATCTGACTGAGGAAGGAAGGAGGGGAGATCACAAGAAACGACAGAGATGTGAGGAGCTCAACATGAGATTCAAAGTGTTCAGAGGAGACAGAAGGGACTCCGGAAAGACGGAGAGGTGGGGTACACCAAGTGTTGGACACAATACATATAACCGAGGAAGAAGTGAAGAGGCTCCTAAGGGAGCTAGATACCTCAAAGGCGATGAGGCCAGATAGCATCTCTGCATGGGTCCTGAGAGAGGGAGCACAGGCACTGTGTGTGCCACTAACAGTCAACACATTTATCGAAACGGGGCAACTACCTGAGGTATGGAAGACAGCAAATGTAGTCCCAATTTAAAAAACAAATAAAAGGAGACAGACATGAAGCATTAAACTACAGACCAGTGTCACTGACATGTATAGTATGCAAAGTCATAGAGAACATTATCTGAAGAGTGATGGAGCACCTAGAAAGGAATGAGCTTATCAAAGACAACCAGCACGGTTTCAGGGATGAGAAATCCTGTGTCACAAACCTACTGGAGTTTATGACAGGGTGACAGCAGTAAGACAATAGAGAGAGAGGGGTGGGTAGACTGCGTTTTCTTGGACTGTAAGAAGACTTTTGACAGTTCCACACAAGAGATTAGTGCATAAAATGGATGACCAGGCGGGTATAACAGGGAAGGCACTGCAGTGGATCAGGAAATACCTGTCGGGAAGGAATCAGCGAGTCGTGACGAGGTGTCAGAATGGGCGCCTGTGACGAGCGGGGTTCCAAAGGGGTCATAGGACCGGTGCTGTTTCTGGTATATGTGAACGACGTGACAGGAAATAGACTCAGAAGTGTCCCTGTTTGCAGATAATGTGAAGTTGATAAGAGGAATTCAATAGGACGAGAACCAGGCAGAACTACAAAGGGATCTGGACAGGCTGCAGGCCTGGTTCAGAACTGGCTCCTTGGGTTCAACCCCACCAAGTGCAAAATCATGAAGATTGGGGAAGGGCAAAGAAGACCGCAGACGGAGTACAGTCTAGGGGAGCCGGAGATTACAAACCTCACTCGGGGAAAAGGATCTTGGGGTGATTATAACACCGGGCACATCTGAGGTGCACATCAACCAAATAACTGCTGCAGCATATGGGAGCCTAGCAAACCTAAGAACATATTCCAATATCTCAACAAGGAATCGTTCAGGATCCTGTACACCGTGTATGACAGGCCTATATTGGAGTATGCAGCACCAGTTTGGAACCCATACCTAGCCAAGCATGTTAGGAAATTAGAGAAAGTGAAAAGGTTTGCAACAAGACTAATCCCGGAGCTAAGGGGCATGTCCTACAAGGAGAGGTTAATTAAGGGAAATCGACATTACACTGGAGGACAGGAGAGAAAGGGGGGATATGGTAACGACATATAAAATACTACTGTTTGGAAGTGACAAGGTGGACATACAGGATGTTCCAGAGATGGGACATTGTTAGGAAGTATTTCTTCAGAGTTGTCAAGAAGTGGAATAGTCTGGGAAGTGATGTAGTGGAGGCAGGATCCATACATAGCTTTAAGAAGAGGTATGATAAAGCTCATGGAACAGGAAGAGTGACCTAGTAGCGACCAGTGAAGAGGCGGGGCTAGGAGCTTGGACTCGACCCCTGCAACCTCAACTAGGCGAGTACAATTAGGTGAGTATACACACACACACACACACACACACACACACACACACACACACACACACACACACACACACACACACACACACACACACACACACACACACAAATAAATATTCTTTTTATGGAGCTATCAGACAGCTGGAAGGCGGCCAACGTCTTTCAAATGTTTTAAAATACGAGATTAGTAAATTACTTGCATACCTTGTAAGGTATTACTGCTTCAACATCTGAACAAACTTTTGAAACTAAAAACTAAAATTAAAGCTTAGTAACCCTCACCTTAAGAACCTAAATTAACATCGAGACTGAAATCAGTGAGGACATTGAAATCAGGAATATACCTTTGAGTTCCGAGAGTTCTTTCCACTCTGAGTCCGGCATTGAAATCATTTCCAGACTATTCTAGGACCTGCATGAGGGTGTCATCCATTGAGGACACGGCAAATCTCCAATAAGATATAAACCAAGTTTTCCAATGGGCGACGGAGAACAATATGATGATCAGTGAAGACAAATTCCAACTACTCCGTTGTGGAAAACTGGAGGAAATAATAACTAGAACTAAGTACGTATACTACAAACTCTAATCACACAATAGAGCGGAAAAGTAATGTGAAGTACCTGGGTGTGATAATGTGTGAGGATCTCACCTTCAAGGATCACAACACTGCCACTTTCATATCCGCGAGGAAACTGATGGAATGGATTACCTGGAGTTTACCTGGAGAGAGTTCCGGGGGTCAACGCCCCCGCGGCCCGGTCTGAGACCAGGCCTCCTGGTGGATCAGAGCCTGATCAACCAGGCTGTTGCTGCTGGCTGCACGCAAACCAACATACGAGCCACAGCCCGGCTGATCCGGAACTGACTTTAGGTGCTTGTCCAGTGCCAGCTTGAAGACTGCCAGGGGTCTGTTGGTAATCCCCCTTATGTGTGCTGGGAGGCAGTTGAACAGTCTCGGGCCCCTGACACTTATTGTATGGTCTCTTAACGTGCTAGTGACACCCCTGCTTTTCATTGGGGGGATGGTGCATCGTCTGCCAAGTCTTTTGCTTTCGTAGTGGGTGATTTTCGTGTGCAAGTTCGGTACTAGTCCCTCTAGGATTTTCCAGGTGTATATAATCATGTATCTCTCCCTCCTGCGTTCCAGGGAATACAGGTTTAGGAACCTCAAGCGCTCCCAATAATTGAGGTGTTTTATCTCCGTTATGCGCGCCGTGAAAGTTCTCTGTACATTTTCTAGGTCGGCAATTTCACCTGCCTTGAAAGGTGCTGTTAGTGTGCAGCAATATTCCAGCCTAGATAGAACAAGTGACCTGAAGAGTGTCATCATGGGCTTGGCCTCCCTAGTTTTGAAGGTTCTCATTATCCATCCTGTCATTTTTCTAGCAGATGCGATTGATACAGTGTTATGGTCCTTGAATGAGAACATTCAAGACAGAGATGCTAAGCCAATGATCTTTTTTTAAGTCACTTGTTCTCTCAAGGCTGGAATACTGCTGTACATTAACATCCCAATTCAAGGCAGGTGGAAACTGCAGATCTAGAATGTACAGAGGACCTTTATTGCACTGTAAGTTCCATCAAACACCTTAACTACTGGGAATGCCTAGAAGCACTTGACTTGTTCTCTCTGGAGCGCAGACGAGAGATATTTTTCATAATCTACACGTGGAATATTCTGGAGGGACTGGTTCCTAATCTTCACACAGAAATCACTTCCTAAGAAAGCAAAAGACTTGGCACGCGATGCGACATCCTCAGTGAGAGTAGGGGCGCCACTGGTACACTAGGAGAAAACACAGTAAGTGTCCGGGGTCCAAGACTGTTCAACAGCCTCCCACCAGTCATGAGGGGTATTACCAATAGACCCCTGGTTGTCTTCAAGAGGCAGCTGGACAGATTCCTGAAGTCGGTGCCGAATCAGCCGGGGTGTGGTTCGTACGTTGGACTACGTGCGGCCAGCAGTAACAGCCTCGTTGATCAGGCCCTGATCCACCGGGAGCCCTGGTCGTGGACTGGGCCGCGGGGGCGTTGATCCCCGGAATGCCTTCCAGGTAGACTCCAGGTAGAGGACACTGAAATCAGATGGGACACTGTTCCCCAAGTCACAGTACTCGCCTCCATCCTTTCACCCGTCCACATATCTGACAAACATAGATGTAATCCATAGTACCGTCTTCTGCAAAGGATACAGAATCTGCACGTGTCATCCATTGATGACACGGCAATTCTCCAAGCGGATATAAACCAAGTTTTCCAAGGGACCACTGAGAATAATTTGATCAATGAGGGACTAATTTCAGTTACTCCCTTAGGTAAACTTGAGGAAATATAGCTAGAGCCGAGTATAAAACAAATTTTAACAACACTAGAGTGAAAACCCCAAGTGCAATACTTGGGAGTTTTAAAGTCAGAGGATTGTAGATAATGGTTCAGAGAATAGACACGTTGATAAATTAGACACATGTGCAACTCTTGGGTATATTTATTGAGGAAACGTTTCGCCACAGTGGCTTCGTCAGTCCACACAAGAGAGAATCTTGAACAGGAGGAGTTTGAAGTAATCAGTCCCTCATCAGCCTTAAGTCGATGTGATCAGTCCATCAATCTTGAAAAGAATACAGCATATGTGCGAGGAAGTGGCTTATATACTGTAGGCAAAGGGAGAGGTGCATCAGTCGTAGATAGTATCACATTTGCCCAATGTGGAAGTAGGTCGTGCCCAAGGGTTAGGCAAGTAAAGAATTCCCAAGTATTAAGATCACAAGAAGTTGCAGTGCCAAACAGGATTGTAGATGAATGGTTCAGAGAACCGACAAGATACCCAAAAGTTGCACATGTCTAATTTATAAAGTCAGAGGATCTCGCCTTCAAGGATCACAACAGTCATTATCACATCTACGAGGAAAATGATAGGACAGATAATGAGAACCTTCAAAACAAGTGATGTCATGCCAGTGATGATCCTCTTAGGCTGGAATACTGATATACACTAGGCTGGAATGCTGATGTACATCTAGAGAATGCATAGAGAACATTCACTGCACGTATTAGTTGAGTCAAGCATCTTAATTACTGGGAACGTTCGAAGGCACTTGACCTGTACTCCCTGGTACACAGGCGAGAAAGATGCATCATAATCTACACCTGGAAAATCCTAGAGGGACTGGTATCAAAACCACACACAAATCACTCCCTATGAAAGCGAAAGACTCGGCAGATTGTGCAGCATACCCTCAATGAAAAGCAGGGGTAGCACGAGTACACAACGTGTCCAAAGCCCCAAGACTGTTCAACAGCCTCCTATCATGTCATGCATAAGGGGGATTACCAATGGACCTATGACTGCCTTCAAGAGGGAACTGGACAGATACTTAGTACCCGATCTGCCGGGTTGTGGTCCGTACGTCTAATTGCATGCAGCCAGCAGTAACAGCCTTGATCAGGCCCTGATCAACCGGGAGGCCTAGTCGAGGACGAGGCTCCGGGGGTGTTAACCCCCTTGAACAAATTTCAGGTAAGTAGGTCCCTGATGTACTGAACTGGCCAAGAAAGATGTCTCTAGAGACGACGCGACACTGACGAGGATACAGACAGATGAAGAGTGCAGGAAGACTTTGGCAAACCGCAACAATAGTTAACAAGTGGATGTTGGTCAATTTTAATATTGCCAAGTAATGAAGATAGTAACAAAAATGAAGGTCTGAGACAAGGTATTAGTTAAGAGGGACCCAACTCCACGGATCGAATGATCTGATGGTAGAAGTGACATTAAATATCTCCTGAGGCGCACACGAACTGAAGACCATCAGTAGCATGACAGGTTTGCAAATGTAATGACTGCCTTGAGGAACCTTAAATAAATCATGTACATCCTCGTCAGACCAGTCCTAGAAAGTGGCACCAGTGTGGCGACCTCGCCAAATCAAACAAAACCTTGAGATAGTGTATAGCAGTTTGTTCCCAGACTCTCAGATCTGAAAGACGTGAACTATTAGAAGCTGAAGGGAATATCTCCAGACACTGGAGAAGACTTAGATAAAATATACAGTACCTGAAAAGAAAAGCCGATGCTTGACAAGTAGATCACAGGAAGGACTTTACTGAAGATACAAAATACATGCCTCAATTAGAGATAATTAATATATCTGCAATAGCAGAACCAACTAGACTCACGAAATCGTAATGACACGATTGCAAACAAACCATACCACGGGCGGGGATAGATTGTAGACACATTCCACCGAACTTAATAGTCCAAGAGGTTAGAAGTAAAATACACAGGCCCATCAACACAGAGTCGGGGAATAGGAATTCCAACTCGACCTATTTAGCAATAATGGGAAAGTACGTAAGTGCAATCCAATGTATTTAAAAATACTTCAAATGTAAATAATGGAAAAGTTGAATGTCATCATGCTGTCGATTAATGGCTATGAAAGAGAACTCAGGAGGCTGGAGGTTGATGGTAACAGACAGGTTACTTGTGCATAAAATATATAATCTTAATACTGTGCTGGAGTCCCTCGTACCTCTCCTGTCTCTTCTCATCTGAATACGGGCGTAAGCCAAAAAAGAGGACAAACATAACCCTGTTTGTACGTTTCACCATGCCATTCCTTGCAGTATATATATATATATATATATGCATGTTTTTTTTTAATTAGTTTCAAATGAGTGGGATACCTTGTCGAGTACGGTCATAAAAGTAGACTTTCATTTTAGGAAATTTTAAAAATGGACAATTTTGATAGTTAAAATACTTTTCTGTTGACATGATCCGCTGGCATGGACCAGCAGGCGTACTGCAGTTTCCTCCTTAGTTTATTGTAGTTTACTGTAACTATTATCTCTTATGATATATAGTATATAAGTGCAGTAATATGTACTAGCAATTAATAATACTAGACCTTGAGTAATAATAATTTAACATACAATAAAGACAATGTGAACACCAGAAGAATAACAGTGGACAGGTTTATGCGGATTTATTAATTTGGAACGAAAGGTAATTATACTTTGTCTTTATTTACAGCAGGTATTAATAAACAAGTAAAGGTAGGAGGGTGTTAGGTGAGGCAAGATGGCTGGCTGCCTTCCCACGTGCCTGGACTGTGAGAGTGCAGCTGCCTGCCAGTTACACCACCACGGTTACCACTAAATGAACATTATGTTCAGTTTTTACATTTGAATGAACTGGTGGAAACTTAGCCAGGAGCACTGTAGAGATATGAGAGATGAAGTGACAGTGTAGTGACGTTCTGAGCGAAACTGTTGGGGATGGGGGGTTAAGGAGTGTATGTCTGTAGTCATAACAATACGGGTACAACTATTATATTTGGGTAAAGTTTTACGGTAATATCAACAAATATAAGTGAGAGCCAAGTGACACTAATACTGCTGATAACCAGACGATGTGTGCATGAGTTTCTGAACCGTCTACACAAACGTGTGTGTGTGTGTGTGTGTGTGTGTGTGTGTGTGTTTCCATAACATCTGTACGTGTGGCGTCTACACCAGGGCCAGAAACTAGTGCATCGCTATGCGGACACACACCCTCCTTTTCCTTGCCGTCCCTGCCACCACCCACACACCCACCACCAACCCCTGCTACCCACTCATCCAACGTCACCCACCTTCACTCGCCAGACACACCCAACAGCTTCCGTCATACATTCACACTTAGACCACC